TTACCCTTCTCCAAAGCTTTCCTGAGACTATTGCAACAGCTGCTGTAACCTGAATGCGCCTTCCCTTTAACACAGGCAGTCTACCTTTAAGAAGTGTAGGTTAGAAGTAGGTTGTACTAGTCCTCTAGGCTCCTGCATTTGTAGCAAGCCAGTAGCATGTTATGTACTGGACTTCATGCTACAATCATATCAATGAAAAGACATCACAAAATCTGCTTACCCCAATGGAAACAGGCCTAGGATAATGGATGACAAATCCCATACCATGTATTGAGTCTAATTAAACATTTGACCCTTTTCATTACAGTTCTTACAATTCTATTTGTGAAATAAAAGCACTGTACATCTGATCACTGATTTAATTACAATCACTTGCTAGTCGGTGGCTGGACATCAAAACTGTTTTGGCGGTTGAGGTACAAAGTTCAGGAATATCACTTGGATAATGCACTGAGGGTAGCATAGAGTGGGTTCAGCTGGTCAGACTTCAAGTTTGTGTCAGTGAAAGTGGATTGACAATGGACAAAGTTGACAGACTGTATTTATATCATGTGCTGAGAGAGAAAAAGCTCAAGGGAAAACCTATGAGACTTTGTCCTTCCCATCTTGCCTATCACAGGTTTGTTTGCCGATGTTAGAATTCATAGGAATGACTGCACACAGTCTTCATGACACAAAGTCCTGTTTTTACATTGAAGATGCTGTTGTGGGGCTAAGTGCAGTAAACCACCAACAGGAGTAACAACTGAAAGCTGAGTATCCAAGAAGCTATGGGTCATCAGTTGTAACAGAACTGTCAATGACTACATCCACTCCCTCATTACCCAGCGTATCCTTCACAGTGCCATCACCAACAAGCTAAATTACCAGGCTTGGTTCAAAGAGGATTATAATAGAATTTGCCAGAGTTGCACCAAGCATGTCTGAAAGTAAATGTTAACCAGGTGAAGATACAATACAGGGCTATGTGTGTGCTAAACAGCAGAAGCACACTTGATGCCTGATCCCATAACTAACAGATCAGATAAATCTCAGTCGTCTTGCCACGTCCGAACATTAACACTGATAACCAATTAAATAGCAAACAAGTTAAGGAGGTTCAGTGAACATTCCCATCTTAATTGATGGTGGAGTCCACCAACGGTGTGCAAAAGGCAGCACTGATGTATTTGACACCATCTTTAGCCTGATATGCAAAGTGGATGAACATTCTTGATTTCTCTCCATGGTTTTCACCATTGCTAGCAGCAATCTTCAATCAGTTTGATGCAATGTCAAGAAACAGCAAAATTCACTACACACTACAAAGGTTACTAGGACTGAGAATATATCACTGTAATACTGAAGACATGTACTGCTGATCATTTTCAATACAACTACAACATTAATACTTACTTGACAACATGATAACACACTCAGGCATGCCCAGTTCACTAAAAGTAAGACAAGGCCAACCAGGTTCATAAATGTTCCAGCAACTCAGTCTCAATCATCTGCCCATTTATATTTTCCATAGTACTTTCAATTGACGTTTAGTCAGTAATAACCTGCACACAATCTTCAGTTTGGATTTAGATGGTAGCAGGTGGATTTGGATCTTAATAGAGCCTTGGGTTTAAAACCAAGAGCTGAATTTCAGAAATGAATTGAGTATTATTGCCTTTGACATCAAAACAGCATGTAACCAAATGTGGCATTAAAGAGCCACAGTAAAATCAATATCAGTGGTAAAATTCTCTAGTGGCTGGAGTCATATCTAACTTAAAAGTTAATGATTGCAATTGTTGGACGCAAACCTACTCAACCTCCAGACATTCCTGGAGGAGCTCCTTTAGGGCAGCATCCAACCATCTTCAAGTGCTCAATCAATAATCTTTCACCAGTATTAACATCAGACCTCGGGCTATTTGTTGTTGATCCTGATGTTTAACACCATTTTACAATTCCTCAGATAATAAGACAGTTCATGACATCAAATACAATCAACAGCAACTAAACTGAAATCACCATCAAGCAGAAACTTAACTGGACCAGTTACACAAATGCTAGGTCCAACACCAGGTTTTGTGTGGAAAAGTAGCTTATGTCCTAATCTACAAATCCTAGCAGTGTGATAGAATAATTTTCACTACCTGGATTGATGCAACTCCCAAAACACTCAAGGAACATGACACCATCAGGACAAAGGAGTACTCTTTCCTGGCACTTCAAATACCGCATTAACCATGAACAAGGTTAGGAAGGTGGGTGCATCAGGGCCCAATAACTGGGGATCTAGGGGGCTTTCTACGTTTGGGTCTTGGGCAGGCCCACTAGGATCAGATTGAAGATGGGGCCACTGTGCCTGCATGTGGGGCCACAACACTCAGGTTGGGGTGGGGCAGACCTCTGTGCTCAGGTTAAGGTCAGGGTTACTGTTCTCAGATCAAAGGCTGAAGGCCTGGGCCAGTGGGTGCACTGCAGCCTGAGGTTTCTGTCCCTGGCCCCAATATTGATAATTTTTACCTACTCTGATGGCAATAACATGACTGCAGTGCGCACTATCTACAGAATTTCAGCAAATATTTTCAGCCAAACTTCCAAAACCACAACCTCGAACACCTAAAAGTACAAAGGCAGCAAGTGCATTGGGGAAGTGTCATTTCCAAGTTCCCCTCAAAGTCACATACACCAATTTAGCAAGAACATATATCATTCTATCCGCATTACTATTGAATCAAAATCCTGGAACTTTCTGCAAAACAGCACCACATGACTGTATTGGTTCCACAGAAAAGGCCTCAATTTTCAAAGCAGAGCTGTTTAAGCTTCATTGCCATGTATCACTCTTAAACTGAACCAACAGACTGGGTTTGTTCCTGAATTTTGCTCTTAAAAGTTATGTGAAATGGCATAAACAAACATTTAGAGGATTTTTATTGGCTCCTCTAGCTAAAGCCATGTTTTTACTAAAATGAGGGAAACATAGATCGAATCCATTTCCCACCATTCAGGTAATAAATCTGTGCATACGTGTAGTACACAATTGGATTATCTCAGTGACGTTTTACCCATAATGTAGAAACCACTAAATAATAAACCTGCTACAGGAAGAGCCAATGAGGCAGCCTTAGATTTGAACTGATTACTCATTTTGTTGTACCTCATCACAATATGTCTAGACACCTTTTTCTCTTTTCCAGGAATACTGTTGCCATGGTGAAATGCATTGGAATTGTTTATTGTGGTATTATACAGAAGAGTGTGCAATAACGCAATGGTTGATTGATACAATAACAAAACTGATTCTGCCATCACAATTACCTTTGTTGTAGTCTTGGAAAAAAAGTAAAAACGTGAATAACATATCACAAAATTTCACTCTAGAGTAAACACAACATCTATTACACTATAAGTCCTGCCTGTCATCTTACACGATGAAAACTGAGCTAAGTTTTGAATTGCGGAGATGTGCTGCTAGATTGTTAGCATCAAATTTTTAAAAAATGTTCAAAAGAAAATGAAGCACCCAAAGCAATGTAAACAAGTTTGCACAGTAAACAGTGCGTGTGAATTCAGAGTATTACCTTTATAAACAGTAAAAAATAATCCATAATGAAAATTTGCTTATCCTGAAATCCAATTCAGAAACATTGAAAGGAGTGTAATATTTGCTCTTTATGTGAAATGCCAGCATGTTGGCAGCTTCCATATTAATGTCAATGAAATGCTTGCACTTCCAGTTCCTGAACTGTAACCTTCCAGCAGTTGGTGGGCACCCAAATGTAAACCTGCCAGAGTTCTACTGACAATCAATGTGCATCAGCTGAAAATTCTTGAAGATCATATTAATGCTGGCACAGCATTTGTTGCAGCTAGATTCAAACCAGCAGCAAGCATTATAATAATGAAAATACAATTTTTCGAAGTACTGATCTAACGTTTGGTGCAGCTTTAATTTTATTTGACTGCTGGCTATGACATGCCAAGGTAAAGACAACCAAGTAGGTTCTTACTCCCTAAGTAACCATGTTCTAAAGTGCTTCTGCTACTTTCTGGGATCCATCTGAGCAATCCTAGCAGTGTGTTGAATGAAATATTGCAGGGCTGCTGTGAGACCCTCAACAAGTGGTGTTCATAGTTATGGTGGTGGATAACAAACTGAGCTTACATAAGCTCAGTCAGTGTTTTCACTGCAGCATTCAGATATTGGGTGCCTTCCACTTGTGCTGGAATGAAAGCTCAGACATCAACCATTAGATGCAGAATAATGGATGTTACCACTTCCATGCTGGATTGGAGGGGCTCCAAGCTCTGCACAAAGTTGTGTGTGCTGTTTTTACCAAATTCCTTAATGTTCCTTTGTGATGACCACAAACTTTCTGGAATCCCTGACAATTCATTAAGGAGTTACACATGAATAGTTTTTTTTCTGTACTCTGCCTCATCAAAACTCTACACTTTGCAACAGATATTGTTTGAGATCTTATCATTCGATCAGCTAGCACCTATGCTACCCTTTCCCCAGATTGCAAGCCACTTATGCAAAGTTTCTCATCACATGCAGATTCTTCTAAGCTACCCTCTAAAATGCATAATATCAGTACTTGTCTCGATAGCTGCGAAGGTGAGAGTGAGTGACAGCATTTTTTTCATTGTATTCTTCCTGTGCTACATAGTAATTTTGGAGTATCTGAAAAGACAAAAATGTAAGTGTTGGACTATGGGGAGGACGCACCATTTGCTGTTCCTGTTTCTCCTTCACTGTAGCTCAAACCTTGTAAGTCAGAAGAGATTGTGGGATGAGAGGGAAGAGGAATGTGAGAATGAGGTAATGTTACGTGTGCACTGTTACCTTTCATGCAGTCAACCTTACTTTTGGTCACAGCCTCAGACATGGTCACTTCAGTAATAGTGAGCATCATCTCCTCTATTGAGATGATGACATGCAATTGTTCCATGCCATGATTCCCCACCAGTTTGCAGCATTGAATCACGTCCTCAGGCGATGGTGAACTGACCTTATGTTTTTGCTAAATGTTGCACCCGCGAATCCCATGTGGTGGGGCATCGAATCCATTCTGTTCCATTCCTGCACTAAGGCCTCTGTGTTGGAGAAACTTGGAGTATGCTTTCTATCCTATTTCACCATTATTCATAGGTCTTTCTGCATAGACGCTCGTCATCATTCCCTTACATTACCTTCTTCAGCCGGAGTGCACTTCCTTTTAAGAAGTATAGGTTTTTTTTAAGTGCTACTGGCCTCACGTGACCTTGGGCCCCCTACTGGAGTGTGCAGTCATTCAACAGAACATTTAATGCATGTTACATTAAAGGTAATTAGCAGGTAGTATGAAGTTAGCAGGTGCAAATTTAACTCACATTGCAGTACCTGAACCCATTTTCAGGTATTAGAGACAACAAGGTGCAGGGCTGGATGAACACAGCAGGCCAAGCTGTGTTCCTACTATCTCTGATTCAGGTATTAGACACCTTTTTCCCCCGTTGTCCCCTGCTGAGAGTAATTACATATGCTTCTCTTAGATTCATTGATGGAAATGATTCAGAGGCAACTTTGAATAAAAGTTGTAAATAATTACCACAACGATATGAATTTACATTTATATGAATGAGATGAAATTGAGCCAAGGTAAAGACATCAATACAATTTTTTTGTACCGGGACTGCTGATTAGTTTCAATGCACGTTAAGTGAAGGGGAAGTTAAGATAGCACAGGATGACCCTTGTGGTAAAATAGTCTATCTTATTTTCTATGTCAAACTCGCACATCTAAAATGCCTGCTTGAATGAAGTATCAGGAAGGAGGGATATGATTAACGAAGAACGGAGAACAAACAAATTCATCAAGATACCAGAGTTTTAACATTAACGTCCAAGTTTTCCTACATGTCCTATCAGGGATTCTCACCTGAAAGCTCCGAAGAATATGCTGCCGATAATATAATATACAGCATAGAAAGTCATCAAACATGTCAGTAATTGTAGGAGAACCGACTGCCAAAAAAACCACAAAATGAAAACTGTTAGATGCAATAAAAATATTTATAAATCTGATTAATTTTAATATAAATTCTAAGTCATATTTAAGACTTGCAATGCAGAGCAAACCAGTTGAATGTTGCAGCCTCACTTAGCAGGTTAATAACAGTAAAGCTGAGACAACCTTTACACAATCTTTATCCTAATAGCAAAACCCAGATTATCCAACACATATGAAAAATGATACGCATTTGATACCTTTGTATCTGTGACCTTGAATTTCAGTGCCATGTAAACATTTAGGTCTACATACTATTTCAAACAAAGCTCCCTTCAAAGGTGGTAGACAAGGTCAATAGCATCCAATTCCCTTTCTCCTTAAGTGCATTTTTTATAGGGAATCATTTCGGTGTGACAGGATTATGTGATCAAGGAAAGCTGTGTGAGCTGTCTGTCAAATTCAATAAGGCAATCACATGGGAGAAATTTGTAATCCTATATTAGTGCCCTGTATCTATCGTCAAAAGTAAGACCCATCATGGATCACACTAAAGTATATTACTGCACTTCTTTCCAAAAATTATGTTTAATTAATGGAGGTCCTGTAATAACATTAATCTAAATCCTAAAGTGAAGTAGTTGCATTTAGCTCATATTCCAAGCAACACTCTACACGGAAAGAGGAAATATGTTTTAAATAAACAGAGACACGTTGAAGTTACCCTGTCAGACACGTTACCTGGGCATGAAATCAGTTCCAAATTTCCATCATAGATAAAGTCAATGGGAACAACGCACAATGTTCATGGATTATTACATTGTATTTATTCAGGTTGAGTGTTCAAAGTTCTTAAAAGCTGTACCAGTTACATTATATAGAACATTGAGATCTGAAAACAAATACTTTATTTTGTCAAGACCATACCATTATACTTTCTGCATTTTTGATTGTGGACTAAAATGGAAAAAAGGACAGTTTTAAAACCACAGGAAGAAATTGCTGCACTTCTTGAACAAAATCAAGTTACTGAAACTCATTGTGTTATATTGGTGAAACAAAAACAGAAATTGCTGAGAAAACTCAGCAAGTCTGGCAGCATCTGTGGAGAGAGAAAACAGAGTTAATGTTTTGGATCCAGTGACCCTTTTTCAGAATTGATTGTAGCTACAAAAAGGTTGATATATATGCTGAAGATGGAGTGGGGGAAGGGGGGTAGAAGTAAACGATAGGTAGAGATGAAGCCCAGAGTGCGAGAGAACCGCAGTTGGATAAACAAAGGAATGGGTAAAGGTCAGCCTGGGAAAATCAGTAGTTGCTAACTGGGACTATTAGTTGTTGACAATGGGTTGTTTATGTAGCAGTCCATGTGATGACAAGGCTTGCTGTGTGGGGGGTTGGGGTAAGGAAATGGGAGAAAGTGCTCAGGCCATAAAATTAATGAAGTCAATATGGAGTCCAGAATATTGCAAGGCGCCCAAGTAGAAACTGAAGTACTCTTCTTCCATGAGATAACAAGGTGTAGAGCTGGATGAACACAGCAGGCCAAGCAGCATCAGAGGACCAGGAA